TTCAGTGGACTTATTAAAATGTTTAGAGAAAACAATATTTCAGATTGTATAGGATTTCTTTAACAAAATTAAAATCAAAATCATTTGGAATAATATATTTCTAGAGGATGGGACCTTAAAACCGAATAAAAACAAAATTCTATAAGAAATAGCATTAATTTAACTACTAAAGCTATAAAGAAAATTTATGGACATGATTTTAATAGAAATAATTATTCAACAGAAGTCTATAAAGAAACTAGATAGAAATTAATTAATAAAATATCAAATGATAAAAGGATTGTCGAATTTTTTAAATTTTTAGTTCACCTTACAGCTATAGATAATAAATTCATCCAATGCGGATCAAATTCACTTAATTTATTAGTTGGGATGAAGGTTGATTTAACAAAAACTTGTTTTTAAAATATTTAGATTAAAGATACTTCATTGATTGGAGCAAATTTAGCAAAATGTAATTTAAGTGGATCTATTTTTGTGAATGTAGATATTAGTGGAATCAATCTTAATGGAGCTTAATTATTTAATTGTAAATGGAATAATTTGAAAATACATGAATTACATCAATTGGATAGTTTCGTTTTTCCTCAAGAAGCTAGAAGAGTATCAAGTAATAATTTTAAGCCTATTTTCTTATTAGATATTAAGACTAATTAATTACAAGCCAAATCAAATGGCTATACTCATTATGGTTAATCAATATGCTTCTCTCCTGATGGCACTAAAATAGCTTCTGGTAGTAGATATAAGTTTATCAAATTATGGGATGTTAAGACAGGAAAATAAATAGCAGAATTAGATAGTCATAGTGATTATGTCCGAATAATATGTTTCTCACCTGATGGTAATACATTAGCATCAGGAAATTCAGAATACTCTCTCCATTTATTCGATATTAAGAGTGGATAATAAAAATCAAAATTACATGGTCATAGTCATTTTGTCTAGTCAATATGCTTCTCTCCTGATGGCAAAACCTTAGCTTCAGGTAGTGATGATAAATCGATTCGTCTATGGAGTATTTATACAAGAAAAACAATATTTATATTGTAAGGGCACAGTCGACCAGTAATTTCACTATACTTTTCTCCTGATGGTACTATGTTAGCATCAGGTAGTGAAGATGAATCTATTCGTTTTTGGAATGCTAGAACTGGAAAAGAAAAAGCCAAAATAGACGGGCATGCATATAATGTCATATCAATATGTTTCTCTCTCTATGGCGGCACTACATTAGCATCTGCTTGTGAAGATAAATCTATCCATTTATGGGATGTTCAATCAAAACAACTAAGAGAAAAATTAACTGGTCATACTCGTACCGTCTATACAGTCTGCTTTTCACCTGATGGTAGTATATTAGCATCTGGTAGTGAAGATAGGACAATCCGTTTATGGGATGTTCAGACAGGAAAATAACTAAGCCAATTAGAAGAACAAACAGATTATGTCTATTCAATATGCTTCTCATCTAATGGAACTACATTAGCATCTAGTAATTAGAATAATTCTATTCGATTGTGGGATGTTAAGACAGGATAATAAAAAGTCAAATCAGATGGTCATAATGATCATGTTTAATCAGTTTGCTTTTCACCTGATAGCACTAAATTAGCATCTGGGAGCAGAGATAATTCCATCTGTTTATGGGATGCTAATTCAGGAAAATAAATAATAAAATTAGTTGGTCATACTAGTACTGTTTCTTCAGTATGCTTCTCCCCTGATGGTAAAATATTAGCTTCTTGTAGTGATGATAGGTCTATCATTTTGTGGAATGTTAGCACAGGAGAATAAAAGGCAAAATTAAATGTTCATTCTTACGCTGTCAATGCGGTCTGCTTTTCCCCTGATGGTACTACATTAGCATCTGGCAGTGATGATTAGCCTATTCGTTTATGGAATGTTTAGACAGGAAAACAAAAGGCTAAATTAGAAGGTCATACTCGTACTGTTTATTCAGTAAGTTTCTCACCTAATGGCAAAATTTTAGCATCAAGTAGTGCAGATAATTCAATTCATTTATGGGATGCTAAGACAAATAAAAGAAAATTCAAATTAGTTGGTCATATTTATAGTGTCTGGTCAGTCTGTTTTTCACCTGATAATTCTACATTAGCATCTGGTAGTGTGGATAATTTTATCCTGTTATGGGATGTTAATAAAGGACAATAAAAAGCAAAATTAGTTGGTCATAAAGATACAGTCTATTCAGTAAGTTTCTCTAGTGATGGCAAAATACTGGCATCTGGAAGTGGGGATAAATCTATTATTTTATGGGATGTTTGCACAGGAAAATAAAAGGCAAAATTAGATAGTCATATTAGCTCTGTAAATACAGTCTGCTTCTCTCCAGATGGTAGTATATTAGCATCTGGTAGTGCAGATAGGACAATCCGTTTATGGGATATTAAAATAGGATCATAATAATCGTAATTGGCTGTTCATGATAATGGAGTACTATCAAAATGCATTTTTTCTGAAGGTAATACATTAGCATTTAATAAAGTAGATCAGTCTATTAGTTTATGGGAATATAAAACAGGCAAATAAATTTTACCCTCAGATACCCGTTTTAAAGGTATTATTTTATAATTCAAATCGCAAAAAAGTTAAATCGATCTGCTTCCATAAAATTGTATTTATTTTATTATTTTATAGCCACCGCTAATATTACTATTGCTCTTATATCCTAATAGTTAATATTTTAATCATAAGGGGCTTTCATTTTGAAGGGAGAATTTTTCAATCAATCAGGCATTGATTTAAGGACATTATTCAAATAAAGAGGAAGCTACATTTTGGAAAATTTAATTGAATCATTGTTAACTTAAAATTGATTATTAAATAACATTAAAATAAAAGATGAAAATGTAGCAATTCAGTTCTTTATTTAAATGGTTTTTTATTTAAGATAATTTTTATTGTTATTGTTATGTTTATTCTTAGTTAGCTCCTAAATTTATTTTCTTTTTAATAAAAAAATTAGTTCAACAGTCTCTTTAAATATCTACTAGTTACCCAATGAAGTGGATTGTTTGAATTATATAACAAAATTCAGAGGATATGTGAAAAATTTCAATTAAATCTTCAATTTATTTAGATTTTTCTTTCAATTCTGTTCATTTTATGAATAAATATTGGAAGACTCTTATAAAAATATTTAGACTAAATGGAATAGATGAAAAAAATTCCATAAGCATAAGCAGGAAATAAATAATACAAAAAAAATAATCCCAGAACGTCATTGTATAACTTAGTTTCATCCTGGAAAAGTTTAATCTTTTTTTAATAGAGATCTAATCATACCTTAAAAGAAATATATATTAAACAATTTTTTTTGTAGTAAAAGTGTTAGAAATAAAAGTGCCTGTTCTAGTGAAAGTTTTTGAATCTTATTAATCTTTGCGATATTATGCAATTAATAAAGTGGTCTTCATTATCTTTTTTATTTTCTCTCAAATAAAACTCAAATTTATAACCTTTCTATATAATTAATTATTCTATTCTTTTTTTAAGCAATTTTTAATGAATATCATGGATAATAGAATTAATATTCTAAAATTCAATTTTAAGTTTTTGCTGGTCTAATTAAGTGATAACTTTAGAATGTGAATATTCTTATTAAATTTCACTGATTAATAAGCCTAAAGATATATCTTTCTACCAACAGGATAGCTTATTACATCTAGTCGCTTGAAATGATTGTGCATTATAAATATTACTAATTTTTTTCTTCTTCTTCTTTAAACAAGATTTTATCTAATATTTCTCTAGTAATTATAGATAAGTATAAATATTATATGAAGGATAGTTGTGGCTTTGTCATCAGTAAATTAAAAGCTTAAAATAAAGGAGCTTGCTATCTACAGAAACTCTATTTAATAATCTTTAAGTAAATTAAATAAAGCAGGAGATAGTGGAGATCTTCGAGGTACTCCATAATTAAATAGCATGCTCTTTTCTCCTCATTCTTTAAAAAATTATAATATTTATTGATTATTAAGACTTAGTTTTTAATTTTTTGTTATTGCATTTAACGAAATTATATCATAATTATTATTGCATCTTATTTTATTAACGAATAAATCACTAATATTAAAAACTAAGCCCTAATTATGTTTTGGAATTAAATAAATATTTATATCTTCAAGAGTTGTATAGTTATCTGATGTCTTAAATAAGAAAATTATTTAGAATTCTAAAAATATCAGAATATATTATAACAATAATTATATTTAAAGAGTCATATGATTTAATTCTTATTATTAAAAAAAAAAAGATTTAAATTTAGATATTTATTTATTTCAAAAGGTATTATATTCTATTATTTTTATACTTAAATCTCAAACTATTATTACGGTAAACTCACTTTCACATTCAATCATCTAAAATTCCTCGACAAATTATCTAATCAAAACAGGATTTTGTGATGACATGGGTTACGAACTTATAATTTTCAAAATCAGTTCAGGAAGCTTATAGTTTATATCATCTAATGCAGATAATGGAAATCCATTTTGTTAATGATGCAAAGGCCAAAAATAGTATAAATGTAAAAATGATATTTTGGATTACTTCAAAACAATATTTGCCCACCCTGTCCATTTCATTAATTTTGAGAAACTACATGGATGAAGAGATAGTGATGATGTTAATTCTCCAATTTACTATAATTTTATATATTTCTATTGGAATATAATAGTTGATTGAATTGGTATCAAAAATTTAGTATAAAATGTAATTTAATGGATTAAGATGGATGACACCAATTAAGAATAGGTACATTTCTAATTGTAAATTATGGTTTTTTAGAAGTATTTAAGTTTAATTCTAATTCATAAAAGTTTTTCAAATCTTTAACTACCTATTCTTATGCAATACAAATAATTGAATTGTAAATATTAATTAAAGCTTTGAATGATATTTCACTTAATTGTGAAATTTCGTTATTGATTAATAATACTTAATTTAGTTCGATTTATAGAATTTAATCAGGAATGTAATCACAAAATATTAATATTTATTCAACCATTACCTATGGTTCATTGTTAAATTCTAAATCAAATAAGAAGAAGTATTAATTAATTGCAAACTTTGATATTCTTAAAAAAACCATTTCTTTTTCAGTATTGAAAAATTATTAATAAAAATTCATATATTTGATAATACTGCAGAATATGGATTTTTTAAATATTTTGAATTACTACAGGATTTTTTCCTTTGATACTGTCACTGTGAGAGGTAAACAGAAATCATTTTTGTTTAATTATATCATTTAAATGAAAGACTCGCAAAGTTATATCCTATATGTATAAAAATAATATATAAAGATTAGCTTTAAGTACAATATATTTGCATTCAGGGTTGTTGGAAACGATATTAAAAATAAAATGCTACGATTTTAATGATGAAACACCTTGTGTCAACTTTCTATATATTTAGACTCTTAATATTCATCTTAAGACTTTGTATATTTTGCACACGATATTGCATACAATAAACTAATTTCTTAAGACGGGGAAAAAATTTATAAGGATCGAATATATTTATTCTTTTTTTTGTATCTGGATATACTTCATTAATGAATTTTAGGCATCCTCTTATATGTTCATAGGCTAAATTTTAAAGATTTATCATGTAGATGACCCATATCGTGGGATCACCTTTACAATTTAGATATTTTATAGGCTATTATTCATAATCAATTAGCAATTTTATTAATTCATATTCTAACAATGTAAAATAGGATAGAGTGAATGGAAAAATAAATCTTGATACAACCAAAATAACAATATATTGGGAATATTTTGGATCAAATAATGAAAGGTTGATGCTTATTTTGGATTTTATAAGTATTACGTTGATGTTCATAAATGCAAACTATATTTTTTAATATGTTTAGATTAAATGATGCAAATGTTCTTAAATACTCATAAAAATTAATGCTTAATTAACTTATATTTTGATAATGATTCTTAGAGATGTTAGTATTGCCAAATATTATGTTCGATATGTACGTCAAAAATAGATTGTTAAACATGTATAATATACTTATACCTAAACTACATACTATATTATTTGTAAATTGAATCAATTTGATGACTAAAATTAATTTCTAGATTATTCAGTTGAATGAAATTAATTTTTCTAATGATTGCTTAAATTACAATAATAGTGAAGATATAAGATCAACTTGTAGTTATCCAAAAAGATTATTTTATTATGCAAAACCAAAATCATGATCCTAATGTCACTCATCATGTTGAACTTGCTTGTAAGGGACATTTGATAGTTTTTTAACATGCAATTAATTTTTAAATAGAATATTAAAAGGAGTAACATGTGTATTTGTACAGGACTTTATATAATTTTTGGAGTTTATTGAGCTAGTTGTTTAACTTTGGATGTGTAAAATAAGATGAGGAGATTAATTTAAAATTGGATAAGAATAATATGAAAAAAGTAATTAAATTTATAAAGATGTATGTAATTTTCCAATAAAATTCGATGTTCTTCTTGTGATTATACTAATAATACTTGTTTAAGTTAAGAATTGCGCTGATTTATTCCAGAGAAGTTCTAATGCAAAAATACATTTGTCAAGATTAACATCTTGTGGTAGAATCATATGGATTCTAAAAAGAGATATTGATTATGGAAGTATATTTAAGTTTGATAATTTAATAGATAAACTAAATTAATTATATGGTTTATGATGCAATAACAATTGTAAATGTGTTAACCATCATGGATATACTGGAGTTGTACTTGTAATTGATTTGTAGAATCTGCGCATCATTTTTTTCTCTCTTAAGTTAAATTATGTATTTCAATTTATGGAGATTTAAAAATATAAGGATACATTTTATTTTCACTTATTAGGGTTATTAAATTAGAAACAAAATGTTATAATAAAAACATGACTAATAAATATAATATAAATTTTAATATGATAAATTTTTATTGTTTTTTTGACAATGTTTGATTGATAATATCATTAATTCATCTGCAATAAATAATCTCTTATTCTTGAAATCATTAATTTGAATTAAATATAATTTCCTAATTAATTGATGAATTTCACTTTAAACATTTTGTTATCACAATTTAAAATCTAAACTGAAAACTTTAGATTTTCATCTGAAATTTCAACGTTAATCTACAATAAAATTAGAATATACTTTGTATTTAGACTCATGGATTTTCATCTCATTGGGCTAGAATTCCATAATTTTTTTGATTATTTAACAGAAAATAATCTTTGGATCTTGATAGAGAACAAATTCATTTGTCAATACAATATCTATACTTTTGATTAGCACTCTATTAGCGAAAGTCAATTAATATTTTTCAATTAGATCTGAGTAGTCTTCATAAATTTTTTGCTCAGAGCTGCATCTATAATCATCAACAGGTGCTTGTAAGTCATTATTTCTATTCACTTAATGTTATGTTTAAATTTGAACTATATTTTTTTTTTATCTGAATTGGTTTTAAATTTATTCTAATGTTGCGGTTGGTCCATTAGTCCATGGATGTTACATACATTAATCTAAAGTAAATCTTTGGTTGGGATTTGAAGCCAACATTCCATTAATAAGACTTCTATTAATTTATAATAAAAATATTTATGTACATGAAATCATCTGTGATAAGGTCAGGAATCTTTTCAAAAATTTTCTTCTATCTTTTCCAAAAGTCATTCTATCTATTATTTTCAAAATATTGGAACCATGTATCATTAGCCTTGGTAGTTTTAAATGGTGGTGATCCAGTAGAAAGAATAAATAAAATTACACCAGCAGAAAAAATATCTGCTTTGTTTCCATTATATTCATGGTTTTTGGTTATTTCTGGAGCCATATATGCTTAATGTAATAACAATAATACATTCAGATCCACAATAAGTTTTTTACAATGCTGCTTCCTAATCTGTGCCTAATCCAAAGTCAGCAACTTTTAGATTAAATTATTGATCTAGTAAGATATTCTCCAATTTCAAATCTCTATGACAAATTCCTTTGTTTGTTATATATATGAGAACAGATAATAATTATTTAAAGTAAAATCTACAAATCTCTGGAGTTAATTTTCCAAATCTTGCAATATAATCATAAAGTTCTCCATTTTCAGCATATTCTAATATAATGCATATTTTTTGTTCGATCTTTCCATTCTAGTTCTTTTAAAATATTAATGAAAATATACTTTATATGGAAATGCTTAATTGAAATCTATCATTTTGATAATGTTAGGATGATCTAGTTGTTTGAGAATATTGATTTCATTAGCAAAAATTTTAATGTTAAAAGGGTAATCATCATTTCTTAGGATGAACTTAATTGCCACTCTTTATCCATTTCTCTCACCTAATTTTACTCTAAAATATAGTTAATAGAAACTACTATCCATATTGTCCTTGTCCTAATGTTGCGATTATTTAATAATCGTTGTATTGCTAGTATTTATTTTAAAACTAATCCATTTTTAAATAAAGATTTTTATTTGTCTTTTATTAATTTTAGAATTTACAAACTAAATAAATCATCTTGTAGAATGATTAAATTATGTAATTAAACAAAAATAATTAAGTATATGGCTCTTAAATTATAATTCTCATCTATTAAATATAAATTAAAACTAATAAAAATTTTTAATTTATATATTTTTATTGCCAAAATTCAATAGATTTAGAATAATAAATATATCTAATAATTTTCTAATTCATTTGCAGTTTAAATAGCAATATAATACTCTTAATAAGATACCAAGCATTACCCTCACAATTAATCATTATTTTATTAAAATCTTACAATATTCCAATACAATCAATTTATTAAATAATAAAAATAACACAATTAAGAAATCAAGTTAAAATAGTAGTGATTAATAGTAGAAATAAAGAAATATTATATCAATTACAATTTATTAAAAACAATTTACTGCTTTTTAACTAAAATCTAGATTAATTATTTTAATATCATATATCATTATGTTGTTTTGATAATCTACACATTTTCTAAGTTTAAATTTACTAAAAATTTGTCACTACTTATCATTTGTTTTGATTTTCTAGATTTTATCTTAATTTATGTCTGCCTACTTTTATTTATTCATAATATTGTTTAATTTACCAAAATAAAGAGGCTCACTCAAGCTTTAGATTGTCAATACAGTTTTTTTGATATGTCAAATATAAATTATCATACTAAATTAAAACTCAATTTTACACGAGTGATTTTTTATTTCCCATCCACATACATTTTTCATTCTATACTAACTTATATAAATTATCTCTAAATTTATTATATAAATCAATCCATTTTGCAATATTAACTCCATCACATATTTGATCATAAAATTAATCATCTGTTTGATGATTAATTAATATTAAGTAACATAAATTTTTCAGAATAGTTTATCACTTTCATTCCTATACTCTTTATTCCATATACCACCATGATTATACTCTCAAATATGAGTTACTTATTTCTTTTTATAATATCCATCATCGAAATATTCTTAATTTATTTTTGCTTCAAGCTTCTTTTAATATATCCCCATAGTAATCACAAATATCTAAAAGTGCTTTTTTCCAAGTAGTTACCCTTCTACCTTATTTTCTCTTGTTTTGATTTTATTCGCCAGGTCATTCTAGAGAATTTCAGTAGTCAATTATTGTAAAAGATCGTTTTGTCTAAAAAAAAGTTTGATAAATTAGAAAATATAACTATAATAAAATAAGTCTTAATTAATGAGGTTTAACCATGAATTAAGATTTAAGGAGATAAAATTAATGTAGATGTATACAAAGATTTTAGAATCACATCTAATAATTGATAGATTTTATACCATTCAATCAATCACTAAAGGAAATTAAAAATAATAGGAAGAATCATTGGTATTAAAGCTATAAGCTATTTTTTATTTAAAAAATTGATTAAATCAAAGTATTTTTATCCTAATATAAATAAAGTGCAAGATTTTTAGTCATTATTCCCTCAATATTTCAAACTAATCAGACCCTATAATTTAGCATAAGTTCAAGAGATTAAAGTAGAATCTAAATTGTAATTTATAGCAATCGATATAGTTAAATATCAAAATACATTAGATGTAGAGAAGACCAAAAAGTTTATGATTGCTGATACATATAAATGAATTAATTAAAAATATCAATAAATTTTCGAAATAAATTAATTAAATTTATATGATAATTCTAAATAACAAAATATTATAATTTTCTATCACTAAATTTAATCAATTATAAAAAATCGATGATTTGGCTGTGATTAGATGTTAAAGTGAGAGGTATGAATAATAAAGAGATATATTGATTGATGCATTAATCATTTTAATCTTAAACTTTATATAATAGTTTTTTCAATTACAATACTTTTCATAAAATTCTGATTAATCTATAGATCTAAAAATAATCGAACCAATGATATATGAATCAAGTAGATCAATAGATTAATACTATTAATACACATTTTAAATTAATAAAAGGAAAATAATTATTCAAATTTATTTTCTATATATCAATATTAAAATCAAAAAATATATAATTATTCTCTCACTTTCTCTCAAATAAAAAGTGAAAGTTAAAAAAATTCTGAAGTTGAAATATATTAAATAGTTAAGAGTTATTTTTATAAAAACATTTTTTAAGATTCTTATTATAATTTAATAAACTATTTTATCAACTTCATTCCTTTCTATCCTGCAGATTGAAAGAAAATTTTAGAAAAATTTTTAAGTAATTATACTTACTTCGCAAATCCTAAGAATTTTTTTTTCAATTTTAAGTAAAATAAACAAATAAGAAGTATTTCCAATAAGGATGATTATTAACAACTTTTAATTTATAAAACTTCTGTATTTATTCTACAACAACACGTATTAATTTACAATAAGGTAAAATACTTATTGAAAATCGAAAAGCCTTGTAATCTAGTTTAATAATTAGATTGCACAATTATTAATTGGGTAATATTTATGAAATTGTTAAGAATTAGGTAATAAATTTTAATTTCAATAATATAATTTAAGTTGTTGATGATATATTTAATTATGTCACCACTTTTATAATATAAGCTCGCAAAAAATTTGAGATTTTATTATTAAAAATGAATAAGCTTTTAGCAATGGGAATGTTATCTTTAATAATGATTGGAATCACTTAATATTTTGATAATTCAGAATTAAATCTCTAATAGAGATTTGAAATTTATACAAGAAAATATGGTAAATTTTATGGTCCTTCTGAAAAGATCTTTAGAACTAAGATCTACGAAGAAAGAATTAAATTATTTGAAGCTCACAATTCTGATAAAACTTAAACTTATACTATGGGAGAGAATTAATTTACTGATTTAACCTAAGAAGAATTTGAGTCCATTTATTTAAGAAGAAGATCTTATTAGAAATAATAATTTGAAAATTATGTATCAACTTCTGAAACAAACTTATCTTCAGCAAATTGGGAAGGTTTAACTGCTATCAAAGATTAAGGTTAATGTGGAGCTGGTTGGGCTTTTGCAGCAATAGGAGCAGTCGAATCAATTTTAAGAATTGATGGTATCACAGATAANTTTCGAAATAAATTAATTAAATTTATATGATAATTCTAAATAACAAAATATTATAATTTTCTATCACTAAATTTAATCAATTATAAAAAATCGATGATTTGGCTGTGATTAGATGTTAAAGTGAGAGGTATGAATAATAAAGAGATATATTGATTGATGCATTAATCATTTTAATCTTAAACTTTATATAATAGTTTTTTCAATTACAATACTTTTCATAAAATTCTGATTAATCTATAGATCTAAAAATAATCGAACCAATGATATATGAATCAAGTAGATCAATAGATTAATACTATTAATACACATTTTAAATTAATAAAAGGAAAATAATTATTCAAATTTATTTTCTATATATCAATATTAAAATCAAAAAATATATAATTATTCTCTCACTTTCTCTCAAATAAAAAGTGAAAGTTAAAAAAATTCTGAAGTTGAAATATATTAAATAGTTAAGAGTTATTTTTATAAAAACATTTTTTAAGATTCTTATTATAATTTAATAAACTATTTTATCAACTTCATTCCTTTCTATCCTGCAGATTGAAAGAAAATTTTAGAAAAATTTTTAAGTAATTATACTTACTTCGCAAATCCTAAGAATTTTTTTTTCAATTTTAAGTAAAATAAACAAATAAGAAGTATTTCCAATAAGGATGATTATTAACAACTTTTAATTTATAAAACTTCTGTATTTATTCTACAACAACACGTATTAATTTACAATAAGGTAAAATACTTATTGAAAATCGAAAAGCCTTGTAATCTAGTTTAATAATTAGATTGCACAATTATTAATTGGGTAATATTTATGAAATTGTTAAGAATTAGGTAATAAATTTTAATTTCAATAATATAATTTAAGTTGTTGATGATATATTTAATTATGTCACCACTTTTATAATATAAGCTCGCAAAAAATTTGAGATTTTATTATTAAAAATGAATAAGCTTTTAGCAATGGGAATGTTATCTTTAATAATGATTGGAATCACTTAATATTTTGATAATTCAGAATTAAATCTCTAATAGAGATTTGAAATTTATACAAGAAAATATGGTAAATTTTATGGTCCTTCTGAAAAGATCTTTAGAACTAAGATCTACGAAGAAAGAATTAAATTATTTGAAGCTCACAATTCTGATAAAACTTAAACTTATACTATGGGAGAGAATTAATTTACTGATTTAACCTAAGAAGAATTTGAGTCCATTTATTTAAGAAGAAGATCTTATTAGAAATAATAATTTGAAAATTATGTATCAACTTCTGAAACAAACTTATCTTCAGCAAATTGGGAAGGTTTAACTGCTATCAAAGATTAAGGTTAATGTGGAGCTGGTTGGGCTTTTGCAGCAATAGGAGCAGTCGAATCAATTTTAAGAATTGATGGTATCACAGATAAAGACCTTTCAGAATAATAATTAATAGATTGTGATTTAGAATCTTAAGGTTGTGAAGATGGAAACTTAGATAATGCATTAAATTGGGTTTTAAATAATGGTGTAACTACAGCCACCAATTATCCTTACACTGGCAAAACTGAAGCCTGCAAAAGACAAACAGGCTTATTCTAAATTAAGGGATATTAAAAAGTTGATCCAAATTAAATGTAACCTGCAATTATTAAGTCTCCAATTGCTGCATCTGTTGATGGTTCAAGTTGGATATTCTATAAATCTGGTGTTTTTAATAGATGTTCTTTTGAAGAATTTAACCATGATGTTTTGATTATAGGTTTCAAAGATGATGGAACTTGGATAGTTAAAAATTCTTGGGGTCAATGGTGGGGAGAAAATGGTATTATAAGATTACCTAAAGGTAATTCATGTGGAATTTAAGAATAATCGTTTATTGCATACGCATGAATTTGATTTATATATTCCAATAAAATATAAATGGATCAAGTAATTATTCTTACCATAAATAATATTAATAATAATATATAATAAACTAAAAGTCTCTATTTAAAAATATGATTATATGTTTAATAATTATAATTTTGATAGGTTAAATTCCTCATTTAGTATCAACTAATTTATAATGAGTAGTTTTTATTGAAAAAATTATCAAATATAAGACAGATTATATTTCATACATATCAATTGAGAAAACTTTCTAGAATTTTCATTTAATATGTTCTAATGTATCTTTATTACATTATTTATAATTAATCAATAACTATTATTAATTTAATTTCATAATCAAAATATCTAATTACATATATAATATTCATACCAAAATCTTATGCTTACCTAGTTGATGATTTCTTACTTATGTAATTGAATATAATCATATTTCCAAAAAATAAAAGTTTACTTCGTGAGCTTGATTAGATTTCATACTATAAACTATATAATATTAACTAATTATCAATTGTTATTCAATATCAAGTGATATTTTAATGCACTTCATTTTATATTTTTGATCCAGTTTTATATAAATATTTAAAAACTATGTAACAATTGTTTTATTAAATGTTGAATTAAAATTAGATCCATATTTTTTATTTTCAATTGTATAAATGTAATAGTCGAGCTCTTAGAATAAAAAAGTAATTTAATTGTAATGAGAATCAAGGATCTAACTTTAGATAAGATTATTATTGATAATCTAAATTTGTTATTGTCATAAATAGATTCTTCAATATTTACTATATCTGTGTCTTACAATAAAATTTTGATATTACCCAGGATCTAATAATATATATGATTTATGGATTCCTTTGATTAGATCATATTCATACTAAATAGCTTTCATTAATTGCCTAAATAAATAAATGTTTCATATATTTACAACTAAATTTTTAATAACAAAATTATTTCTATTAGGAAAAAAGGACGTTTTTCTTATTGATTAATCTTAACTTAAAATCATTTTATAACAGGGGAGTAAGTAAGAGTATCATATATTGTCTTAATAAATAAATGATAAAAGAATAAACAATAAATTCATCTACTGAATAATTTTGATACTGACTTTTAATCATAAAAAAGATAATTACTAGAATATTATCATAAGATTTTTAAAACCATAATAATAATAATAATTTAGGCATATATCAACCTCATCAATTTTCAAAAATCATTCAAAGTATTAAAATAAAAAGTAATTTTTAAACATATTAAAAATGAGTTTTAATAATCAGTTATTTTTGTTTTAACTTTCTATTTTATTTCAAATTTGAAATTTAGTGAAAACAAATATGATGGTATCCTATAAATAGAATAAAATTATTAGTATTTTCATTTCCTACATTTAACAATATTCATATTTCTATTTAGAGTATTTATTTAATATTATTTTTCATCTTATAAATATTTAATGGATCATTTAATTAATTAACTATTAGAAAGGAAATGTATAAATGCTTATAAGTAAATCATGAAAACGAAGCCATAATAGGATTTTGTTTTAATTCTAAGTGTTAATGTGCTTCCTAATATTGTATCAAATGCTTAATTGAATTACATTAAGGTCATCAATCTGATTGCATTGGATTATTAACAATTCCTGATTTTATAAATAAATATATTTCATATTAGAGTTAATAGATAAAAAATTCAAAAGATATCTACTTTCGAGTAGAAAAGAAGATTGTTTCAAAAATGAAAAGAATGGATGAAAATATTTAAAATCTAAAAATTTTGGATTAAGCATTACAAAACGAGGATTACATCAAATTAAAATCATCNCTTCGTGAGCTTGATTAGATTTCATACTATAAACTATATAATATTAACTAATTATCAATTGTTATTCAATATCAAGTGATATTTTAATGCACTTCATTTTATATTTTTGATCCAGTTTTATATAAATATTTAAAAACTATGTAACAATTGTTTTATTAAATGTTGAATTAAAATTAGATCCATATTTTTTATTTTCAATTGTATAAATGTAATAGTCGAGCTCTTAGAATAAAAAAGTAATTTAATTGTAATGAGAATCAAGGATCTAACTTTAGATAAGATTATTATTGATAATCTAAATTTGTTATTGTCATAAATAGATTCTTCAATATTTACTATATCTGTGTCTTACAATAAAATTTTGATATTACCCAGGATCTAATAATATATATGATTTATGGATTCCTTTGATTAGATCATATTCATACTAAATAGCTTTCATTAATTGCCTAAATAAATAAATGTTTCATATATTTACAACTAAATTTTTAATAACAAAATTATTTCTATTAGGAAAAAAGGACGTTTTTCTTATTGATTAATCTTAACTTAAAATCATTTTATAACAGGGGAGTAAGTAAGAGTATCATATATTGTCTTAATAAATAAATGATAAAAGAATAAACAATAAATTCATCTACTGAATAATTTTGATACTGACTTTTAATCATAAAAAAGATAATTACTAGAATATTATCATAAGATTTTTAAAACCATAATAATAATAATAATTTAGGCATATATCAACCTCATCAATTTTCAAAAATCATTCAAAGTATTAAAATAAAAAGTAATTTTTAAACATATTAAAAATGAGTTTTAATAATCAGTTATTTTTGTTTTAACTTTCTATTTTATTTCAAATTTGAAATTTAGTGAAAACAAATATGATGGTATCCTATAAATAGAATAAAATTATTAGTATTTTCATTTCCTACATTTAACAATATTCATATTTCTATTTAGAGTATTTATTTAATATTATTTTTCATCTTATAAATATTTAATGGATCATTTAATTAATTAACTATTAGAAAGGAAATGTATAAATGCTTATAAGTAAATCATGAAAACGAAGCCATAATAGGATTTTGTTTTAATTCTAAGTGTTAATGTGCTTCCTAATATTGTATCAAATGCTTAATTGAATTACATTAAGGTCATCAATCTGATTGCATTGGATTATTAACAATTCCTGATTTTATAAATAAATATATTTCATATTAGAGTTAATAGATAAAAAATTCAAAAGATATCTACTTTCGAGTAGAAAAGAAGATTGTTTCAAAAATGAAAAGAATGGATGAAAATATTTAAAATCTAAAAATTTTGGATTAAGCATTACAAAACGAGGATTACATCAAATTAAAATCATCAATCAATATTATAAAAAAATACTATATATAAGAAATATAAAATGAAGAAGGTTAATATTTTATTTAATATTTTTAGATTAATTCATAAATTAATTAAAAGAAATCGAAAAGATCTTAGAATTATAGGAAAAAAAGTAATATGAATTACAAGAAGCAGAAATACTATTCCAATAGGCTATGTAATTAACACATCAAGGTAAACACCAAGAGGCTCTGAAAATTTATGATAATTCATTGTCTCTATTAAATATAATAGATAAGATATTTACATGGAAGGGTATGATAATTAATTTATTATTCTAGGTCAATCATTATTATCTTTATAAAGATTATAAGAAGGAATTAAATGTTGTGATTTGGCAATTTAATTAAATCCTAAAAATGATATGGCGTACAACAATAAAGGTATAATTATTATTGATTCATAATAAATAGCTTGGGCATTACATAATCTAAATCGATATAAAGAAGCTATTGAATGTTGTGATAAAGCTATTTAGTTTAATCCTCTGAATGATATGGCTTTTAATAATAAAGGTATTCCTTTGATAAATTAAAAATAAATAGGTTGGGCATTAAGCAATTTAAAGTAATATCATGAAGCTACTGAATGTTATGATAAAGCAATTTAATTAAATTCACTTAACGCTAATGCTTATAACAATAAAGGTTCATTATTTCATTTTATTTATTAGCTTATGCTTTACATCTAATTAAAGAATTTCAATAAGCAATAGAGTTTTATGACAAAGCTCTATCAATAAAAGAAAATCCTACATTTTTAAAAAATAAAGGTATTAAAGTCTTAAATTAATTATTTAAGCTGAATCATTACTTGCTTTGGGAAACAAATAAGAAGCTAAAATTATTTTTGAGAAAGCTCTTAATGCAGGATATGTAGATCAAGAATATATAAGGAGATAATTATTAATTTTATGAGAATCTTTTCATTTATATCTATAAGAATAAGTTATCAATATTTATTTATTCCTTTAATTCTTATTTTTCTTATTTTGGAAAAACATAAATCATAAATATTTTCCTTTTTCAATTTTTTTGACAAAATTAGATTCAGTATTACTAAACAATATATGATTTCTTAATATACAATTGAATAGTTGTTGATTATTATATAGAAATAATAGAGGTAATATACATTCAAAAATATAATGTATTACATCATTTACAATTAGAACTGAAGATTCATTTATAAAAAAGCAGTACACTCTAAATGTTTATATAGATACTGTATGATCATAAGCAGTTCACTACCATAAGCTTATTAATTCATCCAAACACTTTAAAAATTCTTTGATTTTTAGATTCTTTTTTTTATATTCTTCCACAATTATTTGTGTCTCTAAATATTTAATATTACCACAAGCTGTATATTTTTGTCAAAGATCAATTCATATAAAATACATAAACTTAATTGTAGATTTTAACTCATCAATCATTACAAGAGTGAAGATTAAGCAGTAATTGTCTACTATATCATGAAATATTTCGTATTCTATTAACATATAATTAACTACAATGAACTCGTTCCCACTTAATTAATTTTGTAGTTAATAGTTCTTAATTAAATTAATTATAGAAGACAAGTATCAAAATTAAATTCATATTCGATTTCTGCATTAGACATATGATTATTTATTATTTTTCTTATATTTCTTTTTTAACCTATTGAAATTTAAAGTATTCTTAGAAGAGTTCTATACATTTAGCTTTGTAAGTTAAATCTAAATATTCTGGCGTAGTTTTAGTGGGATTAAGTTTAGACTTGGCATAACTAAGCGTATTTGTTAGTATCAGTTTTTATATATGTTAATTTTGAAACTCTGTTCTCAGTTTCAAAGTTTGTTTAAATAGTTTCTTTTTCAATAAGTATTTACTGCTCCAATATCTTAGGAAAAATTAGATTAATTTCTAGTCAAATTTAGTAATCCTTATATCTAGACTCATTAGAATTCTAAAACCCTTAAAATACATCTTCCCATGTTTAATATTAAGGCATAGGTCTTCTTTCCCATAGACGACCAAATGCTTTAGTTAATTATTATCTCATGGAGTCAAACTTTAAATCCAGTGTTATATGCTTCATTAAACTTGTATAGTTATTTATTATTAATAGAAACAAACAGCTTATTTTAATTCCATTTTATTAGTGGTGCAGTGTAAGGCTTTAGTGCTAGGAAACACACAATTAGGCTAAACATAAACTAATTTACCCCTTTTAATTAGATTTTAGAGTATTAGACCTTAAGAGTTATTATTAGAGTTACATCATAATTACCACCTAAAATTTTATATTAAAAATTATTTGGTTTAGTATTAAAAATAATTTAATAATTTCTATATTCATCAAAATCTATCTAAAGTCATTATATATATATATGGACGATTCAGATTATAGATTCATACAATAAAAATAGACTATTTTCTAATTTTCATCTTAAATCAAGATTTCAGCTTACATGTTAAACAGATAAAAAATAATGATCATAGATTTAAATGACAAAGAGTTGGAAAAATATGTAAAATAAATAATGAAATCTTGTTTTTTATATATTGATGAAGTCATTTTTACTTATTAGTATTTTGTTCATTTTTCACCGTATTTTTAATAGCATTCTAAATGACTTTTGTTGGATTTTGTTGACCTTTTTACTAATTATTCTTTCCTTTAGAGTCTTATTTTTTAATTCCATTTAAACTAGTTATCATTCTCTTAACCATTCTCTCTTCACCTTAAAAATTCATTAATTTAATATTTTGATTATTCAAAAATTTTCTAAGCTTTATTACCTATTAAATCTTAAGATTATAATTAATTTATAGTAATAGAAACAAATTCTCAAATAAAAGTCTTTATTCTAAAAACAATAAACATTTTTATTCAGTTATATATTAATGAATTGGTAATAAAAATAATAAAAGAATTATTTTATTTTATATATCATGAATATATAAAAAATGAATAATTCAAAATAAAGAAATATATAAAACATGATTATATATTAACAAAGATATTATATTAACTCTTATATTGTCAATATAACATAATAATAATTATTAGAATATTATATTAAATTAAGAATACAATCTAAAATTACCAATTTATCATCAAAATTCTAATAAAATAAGATTAAGAATATATAAATTCATTCTTCAAACAAATTAAAATAAAACCAAAATAATTAAAACTATTTTCATTATTAAGGATTTTGTATATAATAGAAGTAAATAGATAAGGATTTAATAATCAATGATATAATAATATTAATAATTGATTTTATAAATATTGCTATATTAATTATTAAGACCTAAATTTCATTGTCTTTGAATATTAATCAAGTTTTAATAAATCCTTCCTAAAAGTATATTGGCCATTAATTCTTAATCTTTAGATTCTAAGGGAAATTCATTTAATATTAGTATATAATTTATATATAATATTTGGATTATTATTATAAAAAATGGGATGTCTTTAATACGTTCTTTTCTAAAAAAAGAAAAAGGAGGATGATCAACATTAAAATAATTAATAAGAAAAATCCGAAAGAGAACAACCCAAGAATACTTAAACTGATAATGATAAGGATGATGATTCAAAAAATAAGGATGAACTAGGAGCAAAAAATATTAGTCTAAATTGGAAAGTTGATGACTGCTGGGTTAAAGATTGTTAGAAATTTAATTACGATCTTATTACCAATATAAAAGGGAAATATTTTAATGTTCTATTATTCAAAAATATCTAATTTTATTATAAAAAAATAAATAGTAAAATGAAAGATTCAAATTACGAAGATGTAAATATATATGAAATAGAAGGATTTATTTATTAAACTGAATATGATATTCATTTCAATCCAAAGTATAAATTATAAAGAGGGATTTTCTTGATAAATTTGAAAGAAAGAAAATTTCAATTAAATGGATAAGGTGAAGAATATTAAGGAAAATCTACATTTATAAAACACATTGGTAAGTTTAAAAATGGAGAATATATATCTGAACCAAAGAATACAATTAACGATCAGAATACAAATTAATAGACTAAAAGAAATAACTAAAAAATTATTATTATTACAGATGTGACAACAGGAATATAATATAATAATTAAAAAATCATGCGTAAATAATAAGTCTAAGTCTAAAATTTTTGGTGTAAGTATAATTAATTAATATCAAATAATGATCTGGATATATTAAAAAATAAAAGATGGATAACTAGTAGTATTATTGATAGTTATGTTCTTAAGCTTAATTTAGACAGTGAAGATAAATATTTTAATCTAAAATTTTAAGAGAGATAGAAAATTAAACGTATATTATTTTTACCAACTAGTTTAACTACAAACTTTGGAGTATACTTTGATAAACAAAAAGTAACTTATTTATTAGAATAAGAATTACTGGAATACTCATAAATGAATTTAGAAATAACAAGAATTTATAAGAAAATTGGATTTCCAATCAACCTAAATAATTTTCATTGGTATTTTCTATTATATGATGCCGAAGTAGAATAAGTTTAGATCTTTGATTCAACATCAAATTTTAATAATTTTTCAATAAAAAATGAAAATTTAATAAATACTTTGGCAGATGTCCTTAAGATAAAAATTAAATTAAAATAAATTCACAAAGAATCAGGTAAATAAATTAATGGTTATTCATGTGGATATCATGTATGTAATTTTATGAAGTTTTGCTAAGAATAATAATTTAATAATAATCAAAAAGATTATTAATATGATGAAAAAAATATCATCTAGATATTATAAAAGATAATAGCTAAAGATTGATGATTTATTATATGATATCCCTATAATAATTAATAAATTTTGTTAATTTATAATTTTGAATAAAGAATGATATTCTGAGTATATTCAAAATATTTCATCCATTATTCTAAAATAATAAAGACTCTGCTTTTTTATTTATAAGTAATTATATAATATGTTAATTACCATACACAAAACTAATTGAATTAAAAGAATTAATGAACCAAATTATAACACCATATTTTTTGAAGATTATTATAAAATATTAAATTAAACTTTATTTTAATTTTGTCTATTGATTTTTATATTAATAATATAAAGATTAAGATTTTTAATCTTAATCTAATTTTTATCTTCTTTATTCAAAATCTTAGAGAGAAGCTTAATTTATAATTTAGATAGTATTTAGAATGTAAAATTAAAAACCAAGAAGAAATATATGTTCATCAATTTTATATTCTATGAAACTAAGATAAGGTCTTAAAATGAATTCTAAAGAATTTAGATTATAAATTTATTAATTTATTTAGACAAGCCCAATTAGAAAAAATGATCTATCATCAAACATCATATTTGTTTTCTGAAATAATAAAAAAGAAACCAAAAACTATTGAAGTTTTTTTAATTATATGAGGTGTATAGGATATTTTTAGAGGATTAATGTAAATTTCTATTAAGGATAGATAATAATATACATTTCTAAGTTAAAATTTACTTTTCAGAATTCTCTTAAAAATTCACTTTATATATCTTTGAGAGATAAAGATATTTTCAGAAATAAATTTTATACTCTCGGTAGGTGTAATTATTTATAGAATCTGAAGATTAATGAATATCAAAATATATTGATTTATAAATATTACAATAAAAGTTCATTAGTAAATAATGATGCTTATATTTTTTAGAAATGAAGTAATTGTAATATTATGTATGAAAAAAACAATTAATTGATAAGTAAGCCATAAAACCAAAATATTATATATATCTGTTTCTAAGATTAATTTAATTATAATCATATTGTGCTCTTTAAATTGAAAGCATTTAATTTTCTGATTCTTTATTTATATCTTCTTCATTAAATTTACTAAGATTTTTTATAGCAAGTAATTAAATAATCTCAATTATCTTTTAATGTTTCAAATATACATCATTGTCCAAATTAATTAGGGCTAAAATTTATAATCTATTCTTTCAACAATTTCATGATTATTTATTTCAAATCTAAATAGATTTAAAACATGTCCTGCAATAGATCTCTTTTTTGTTTTTATAAATTTACTAAGATAATGGTCATATTAATATACTTCAAGATAGTGAGATATTTGTAGTTAAACAAAAACATGTTATCGCTTATAAAAGATATTCGATATTCATAACTCTAAATTTGTATCTATAATTTAATTTTCGATTAAATTACATTAGATCCTACCAATATCAAAATAATTTTATCCTAAACACAAGATATTAATATTGTGCCCTCTTAATTTAGTGATAATCCTATAATCAGTATGATGATTAATAGTCTAAAGAAGAGACAAACTCATAATAGATGATATCGATGATGAAGACCAAAAATTGATTATATTTTGAGAGGAACAAATTATCAGATCTTCTTAGCTTGGATGTATCAATAAAGAACTGATTATTGAAGGATTTGTATTCAATTTAGCTATGTATTTAGTATTAGATGGGAGATTTAATGAACAAATTATTATGGAATTATCTTAAGATCCTGAAATAAATTGGGACTTATGTTTAAAAATATTTAGAGTAATTATATCTTTTGAATGATTTCGAATTAAAGAGAACTATTTGATTTATCCAATTTGAATTAAAAGACTAAAATATTCCTATCAGAGGCAACAATCATAAATGTATTATTATGATTTATAGCTATGGCGTTACACCAAGTCTTTAATTTTATTTTCTTCCCATTTCTTATTGAATATTTAAAAGATCTTGAGTTCATATTTTATTTATTGTTTTACTATTGTTGATTCATTGAAAAGATCAACATAATAATTATTAAATAATTAGGCTTTAAAATTTTCTTATTTATCAATTAAATGGAGTATTATATAATCCAGATTTCAGATTACAGTTTACATTAGAAAGTAATTCAAATATGCAAGGATGACAATCTCAAATTTTCCAATTATAAATCTTTATGAAATTAAGAAAATAATAATGATTATTCAAAATAATATTAAAAGTTTTCTGATATTTTTTAAATAACTTTTGAATTCTTAATTATATTCTTACTCTATATCTTAAAAATTCTTTGTGATAAACATTATGAAAATATTTAATGAACTACTATAAATGATTTTTTTTAGATAAATGCTAAACTTTAAAATTGAAATATGTAACATTGACATTAAATATATCTTATTTTATATTTATAATTGTTACCTATTTTTATATATATTGTTATTAATTGATCTAATTGAAATAAGAATGTGTTTGGAAATTTAGTCTGATCAAGATTCCTCAATAAAATATCAATCAATTTGTTAAAAATAATGTAACAAGTAAATATTAAAAATTAAACTAAAAGTGAATATTGAAAAATGGTTTGAAAGTTTCTAATTGATATTAACATTGTTATTTTAACACTTGCTAAATGATATGGAAATATATGTTAATACTAAATAATATAATTAATCTTCATTTTGAAAATATTACAATTTGTGAAATTTAATTATGATTTTACATTTGATTTCATTTAATCAATATTTTTAATGTAACTATGTCATAAAATTTATTGAATCTAAATGAAATTGGAATGGATTTATTTTAATAAAAACAAATATCTAAATAAGAGTTTGATAAATATAATAATGCATCTGTATATATATTCTTATCATAAAATAATTTTCTTCTTTTCAAGACCACTTAAAAATCAAAAAATTTGGCAATTAATTAATTCTTAAATTTCATATTAAACTACATCTATTATTTAAAAACACAAACCATTTTTAACCTTTTTTTTTATGAATTATCATAAATGAAGTTTATTCTCGTATTATTTCTTTAAACTTTAGCATAAATCAAATATGATAAGGACTAAATAGTGATATCATCTACTGCTAGTTTTATGTGTAAAAATTCCTATCAATTATCAAAGACGATTAACTTCAACTGAGCATTTTAAAATATTCTCCAAGTCTTTATGCAGTAATCTTTGAGAGATTTTAAATCTAGGAATATAGAATTTCGATTATCAATAACAAGTTTTGCTTTAATTAAGACTTTATTATTTAAATTAATTGTCAAAAATCAAGAAGGATTAATTGATCGTAATTTAGATTGCTATTGATGATTCGAAGTTCAATCTATAAATGCTTTTAATATTGATAAGACAACTATGACAAAGACTTATCAACACTTAAATGAAAATGCAGAAAATGGAGTAATATTTCTTACAAGTATATCATTTTTTAACCTCATTCATTTTGTCATTTCAGTATTATTTTTAATATATTTAGTCATCTAGTTTGACAAACATTGGTGAAATAGTAGATATATCCAATCCCTCAGGAAAATTTGTAAATTGGATAGTAAATAGTATTAATATATTAGATTCTCAAACAGTAACCATCACATTATACACTAGCTAAAATTTGAATTTATAAACAAATAAATAGATTCTGATAACCTATTGTTGGATTTATATTTGATAATGATTATTATTTCCAATTTAGATGGACCTAGACTTATACTGTCTCAACAGTGTCTTATATAGTAGATTCTTGTAAAATTAATATTAAATATAGTGGACAAACTTGTAAAGCATACACATTTAACAGCTTGAATGTCTTATGTAATAAATATACTCTATCAAACAGTTCAATCCTAGAAGATAAGAATTTCATAAAAAATTGATTTAGAAGCTCTAAATAGACCTACAGTTTATGTAGAATTACCATAAACAATTGAAATTCTTAATTAAATTGGTACTTTTACTTCTATTATTGACAAATTCATTTCTCTAATACTTATAAATGTAATAATTAAATGCTCATCAGGTAAGAAAATAAAAAGGTAATTTAATAAATGCAATAATTGCTCTTCTTAGAAATTTTATATATAAGGTCATAATTGTAATAATTAAATATCTTATTTTCTAAGATATTAACTAATAAGGGAATTTACAATAATAATTAGTGATATGTTTATTCAATAACCTATAATTAGGTTGCAGCAGTTAACAATATTTTGGATATTGAATAAATGAATATATGATAAAGTATTTCAAATTTTAATATTATTATTTTTTACAATCAAATATATTTCGATATCTCTTCATTTTATTTTAAGTTTCTCAAAATTTAATAGTTAACTTATGATTTTCATTATAATTATTTCTTTATAAAACTTGTTCAAATTAATTGATAAAATAATTATATTTTATTAAGGTCCTATGAAATTTATAATTCCAAGTAACTAAGTATTTTCTATCAAGAATAATTGTTCCATATACCAAATCATGGCTAAAATTAATTCCTTATTCTAACTAACAGTTAAATTCCCCATCTAATCCTTTAAATTCTCTATTGTATAGAATAAACCTTATAATATTTATGAAATAACCATTTTTTTAATCATTAATATTTACTTGGAAGGAACATCAATTAGTTGACATTCCCCTAAATCATTTTGTCCCTTGCTTTACAAAGAAATATTTTTGGCATTCAGGTCCATTTTCAATATTAATAAATTCTTAATTATCCCGATAATGATTTAGATGATTGAGGTGTAATAATTTAATAAGTAGTAAAAATAAATTCGAAGTAATTATTCTTTAAATTAGATCTTCTAAAGGACTTACCAGGATTCTTTTTCTGAACTTGTCATTGCAAAAAGATTTATATCTGCTCAAATTAAAATTATTTTTTTCAATCTGGGCTTATTGATTGTCGTCATTTTGGAGTTTATTAATCATCTAGGACCTAAATGTTTATGAAATTTTCTGATCTAGAAGGCATGTTTTCAAAATTAAATAATTGTGGCTTAACCTATGTTCCCATCAAAAATAAATAGTGTTTTCAAGCTTTTACTTCACTTGCATAAAGTTCCTCCTATGTTTATTCAGTTAAATTTTCAACATTATATTCGTTAATTGAAATTTTTCACATGAACTTTTAAGTTATTTTTTAGTAATATATTGTGAAATAACAAAAGAATATTAAGTTAAATAATTATAAATATATTTATCTTTTTAATTTAGGATTTGACTCTACATATTGTGTTTTATTTCAGAACGAAAAAAGTATATAAACTTTTGATATTAGAAACATTTAATATGTATAATGAATATATATACTCAAAATATTTCTNCGATATCTCTTCATTTTATTTTAAGTTTCTCAAAATTTAATAGTTAACTTATGATTTTCATTATAATTATTTCTTTATAAAACTTGTTCAAATTAATTGATAAAATAATTATATTTTATTAAGGTCCTATGAAATTTATAATTCCAAGTAACTAAGTATTTTCTATCAAGAATAATTGTTCCATATACCAAATCATGGCTAAAATTAATTCCTTATTCTAACTAACAGTTAAATTCCCCATCTAATCCTTTAAATTCTCTATTGTATAGAATAAACCTTATAATATTTATGAAATAACCATTTTTTTAATCATTAATATTTACTTGGAAGGAACATCAATTAGTTGACATTCCCCTAAATCATTTTGTCCCTTGCTTTACAAAGAAATATTTTTGGCATTCAGGTCCATTTTCAATATTAATAAATTCTTAATTATCCCGATAATGATTTAGATGATTGAGGTGTAATAATTTAATAAGTAGTAAAAATAAATTCGAAGTAATTATTCTTTAAATTAGATCTTCTAAAGGACTTACCAGGATTCTTTTTCTGAACTTGTCATTGCAAAAAGATTTATATCTGCTCAAATTAAAATTATTTTTTTCAATCTGGGCTTATTGATTGTCGTCATTTTGGAGTTTATTAATCATCTAGGACCTAAATGTTTATGAAATTTTCTGATCTAGAAGGCATGTTTTCAAAATTAAATAATTGTGGCTTAACCTATGTTCCCATCAAAAATAAATAGTGTTTTCAAGCTTTTACTTCACTTGCATAAAGTTCCTCCTATGTTTATTCAGTTAAATTTTCAACATTATATTCGTTAATTGAAATTTTTCACATGAACTTTTAAGTTATTTTTTAGTAATATATTGTGAAATAACAAAAGAATATTAAGTTAAATAATTATAAATATATTTATCTTTTTAATTTAGGATTTGACTCTACATATTGTGTTTTATTTCAGAACGAAAAAAGTATATAAACTTTTGATATTAGAAACATTTAATATGTATAATGAATATATATACTCAAAATATTTCTAATTCATATTATTATTTCTTTGTTTTCATAGTATACATAAATGTGTGAATAATAAACATTGTTGTATATTTAATCTTATAAGAATCTATTTAAATTTCTCTATTTTAAGATTAGAATAATGAATCTTAATTCATTTTACTATCAATATTTTATACATTATATTTTATTCAATAATATGAACTCATTTACAAATAAACTCTAAATATAAATTAATTACTATAATATTAATTTTTAATTAATTCTAAAATTATCTTCTTTCACTATTTGATTATATAACAATGATATAGATTATTGAAAAATGAGTTTATTTCTATTTGCATCTCTATAAGTGAACTTTAAGTAATAATATATTCTCAATAATTAAATATAAATAGATGATTTGAGTTGATTTCCAACATTTTTTACTTGATTTAAAATAATAAAATAAAAGAATCTTAAACAAATCATTTTTATTTAAAATATTATTTTAATATATTTAGTATAAGTTTATTTAAATAATAAATATATTAATATATATAATATGGAATTAAAAAATAGAACAATGGATGGTATAGTTATGTGGAAATATGAGGTTAATAATGAAGAAATATAAGATAACCAAATAAAAGGATAAAATCAATCAGATGATAAATAGTATGATAATTTCAATGATTTTTTTCGAATATTTGATTTTGGATTATCCTATGATCTTTAATATTTAGCCATTTTTGAAGACAAAATTAGAAAATAGAATAATCCATCAAGGAGAATAAAAGGGAAATAAAAAAGTGATTTAAGAATAAAATTATACGAAGTGAAATCAAACAAAGTTGTTTTTGAAAGTAGTTTATTATGTCGAGGATTTTTACATATAAATTTTCATTTTTCTAAAGATTCAAATTTTTTAATATGTTAAGGGTATTGGGATGGTTATTTAATAATAGATATTTAATAAAAGAAAGAGTACGTCTTTAAGAATTTAGAAGAAACAAGTTTTATTTTTTAGATGGATACAATAAATAGTTATTATATAATTAAAAATAACAAAATATTTAATATAAATGCAGAGTAGATCAATTAGCAATAGGAAAAAGAAATATATCTAAAATTCAATTTTAATCTTATATTATATTTCAAATCATTTTTATAGAAATTTGCTTTAATAAGTACAGAGTTATACCAATATATAATTTATCTTGAAAATTGTAAAGTTCTTAAATAAAGAAAAAAATAAATTGATGTTAGAACATAATTAATCATTTTTAAAAACTTTCTGATAATAGAATAAGAAGATCATCATGAAACAGAATATACTGTTAGATTATTACATAGTGGAAAATTATTAAGAAGAATAAAGAATCTTTTTGGAAATACAGGTAATCTATCTTATGATGAATGTGGAGTTTATAAAAATTCATTTTAAAATATTGAAACTCTAAGTAATTATTAATAAATCAAAATATTTGACTTTTTAAGAGGAAATTATAAATAAATATCTTATAGAATTAATTCTTAACATAAAGATAGTCATTAAATCTCTAAATTATACAAATAGTTTATATTCACTATGATTAAGAGCAAACTATAAACTTAAATTACATGCTATATGTTAAGATGATACTAATATTTAAAGTAATTAGAAAACTTAAATATCATTCATTATCAGATTTATTTATATAATAAATTTATCTTAATATTTTTATCATTTAGTCTAAAATTCTTAGATACCTCAAATTTTTCAACTAACCATATTAAATACTTATTTTTATATTTTTTCTATCTTTTATTGTTTCAGATAGATAATAAACTTATCATTGGTTAATCAAGCAAAGTTTGGATAACAGAAGAAATAGAAAGAGTGCCAAAGAAGAATAAGAGGAGCAGTTTAAATTGAAACTAAGAAAATTTGAGGTTTAAATTGTTCCTTTTATAAAAATATTAATAGCATTAAGTACAGTTTTTGAAATTGTCACATCAAATCAAGGAATAGTTTTAATAAAATATTCACAGTTAATTCCACAACATATGGTTAGATTTATTATGCTGAAAGTTCTGGTTGGTTAAATTTAAATATTTAGAGTATTTTATTGACTCTATATATTTATATATAATCAGTTAGATTCTCAAATGTCATTAATATACCTTAAATAATTCAAAATTCTATAATTATAAAAAATTTATATATTCTAAACTGTATTTCTTTGAAGAATTAGATAATTGATATTTAAAATTTAATTCATTAATTAGATTGTTTCTTTGAATTAAATTTAATTTCTAAATATTAAAATATTATAAGATTAATGAGTATTGGCTATTTATTTTTACATGATAGGATTAATAAGTTTGTCTGAGATATTAGAAATATTATGTTTGAATATAGATTTTGAAAGTTGTGATATTAAATTAGAAATTTGATTGTAAAAGAAATTCTTAATGCTCTAATTTTTAAATTAATTAATGTTATCAATAGAGGAATTTAATTTTTTTAATAATATAATGAATAATATTTGTTTGATTTATATAAAACTTGTTGATCTTTAATTGCTATATTGAAAGTATAATCAGTATAATATCTTTTGTTTTTTTTTGAAATCAATTATTATTTAGGATCACTTTTACTTCAATCAAATGTTTTTTATTTGTTCAGTTTCTTAAACTTAATTCTAATTTCTTTGATAAGTTAATGATTGATTATGGATAATTCATTTTTAGTTTAATAACTAGAAGATTATTTTTATAGCAATATCATTTAACTATAACAATCATAATATAGTGCTTTCAAATTAAAGTTAAGGATATTTAAATGAAAGATTTATGAAGCTTAATAATATAGTTCATTAATAAAAACTAGATCCTAATTAGATACATTTACTTTTTACATTAAAAATTGTATTTTCTAATAAATATATTTCCAAATCTTCAAGATATAAGATAAAACATCAATATTTTATTTATTTCTTCTTACAAAATCTATCTTTACCATTACTGAAATATCTTGAGATTAAAAATTTCTTTAAATATTTCCAATCTTACAAGTGTCTAAGGTGGATGTTTATACAGTTGAAATTAATATAAAATTCAAATACAATTTTTATTTAGTGTGTTTATCCAGTGTTTTATTAAAAATAAAAAATGGAGAAATTATAGGATTACTAAATATGATATATAATAGTATTATTTTTAAATGATAAATAGGAGTATTATCTTAGCCTTGATCCTTATGAATCAGATTCTGCTCATTTAAAAATTCAAGTCAACTACAAAAACTCATTTTTCATTACATGAATTCTCGTGTATACATAAATATTCCATGTATATGGTAAATAAACATTCTAAAATGTAACTTCTAACAATATTAATTTAAATGAGGGTTATTGAAGATCTAAATATTTATCAAAAATATTCTCATGTTAGAAGTTAACATGATAGTATAGTTCTATAAGATAAATATCAGACCAAAATGGCTTTCGGAATGGCTAATTTGTGGATTTTTCCCACTTATTAATCTTATAAGGGAACATGGACTTATAAAAAATGAATTCTTTAGATAGGCCTTTGTACTTGAGGAATCTAACCAAGAATCTTAGCTAGACTTGATTTCTAGCCAACTACTTAATATTATACCTAAAGAACCTAGATTAATTTATGCTATCAAAAGAGTGGTTGATCCGTCCCTATGAGGATGAGAATATTTAGGCCATATTAGATCATGATATCAACTTGAGGAATAAAAGAAATTTTTTTGTAGAACAGATTCAATATATTCACAAAGTACCTGGAATTATTTACAAAGATTAAGCAAGAAGATGTAGACAAAAGTTAAATGAAAATTTATTAACTGTCTGCATATTACTCTAAATTGGATAATTTAGAGTAATATAACAAGTAATACCATTCATCTCTAGACCAGATCTTTTTTATATAAGACTAGCACAAATTGATATTTTTCTACATCTCCATCTGATTCTTAAAGGTGATGAGAAGGTCCCAATACTATTGTCGAAGAAGAATTTCTTAATTTTATCTTAATTAAATGGTTTATCATAATACCATTTGACCAAGAACTATAATATATAAAAAAAGGTTATACATTATTTAATAGTAATTGTTGGATGAATTTACCTTGAGATATGTAGTTAGAAATCCAATTAAAATTTAGTTTATACGAGATGTAAACTAAAGTGTAATCATGATTTTTAATAATAATCCTGTGGTTTATTTTGTAATGCTAGAGTATGATGTGAAACATTTAAAATAAAATTGTAAAGTTTTCGCCAATTATCTTGGGAGAGAATAATCAAAATAAAATAGATACCAATTTAACATTGATATATTAAAAAATAGGCATCCATAATTTATTATAATCAACTATGATGATTAATAAAAATATTAATACGTCCAAAAATATTAATATTAATCTTATGATTGACATTTTCATAAGATAAAACTTATAGTTTATTGCTTAAATTATTTAGGCAATTTCACAGTAATTTGATTTTCTTCCAGCTTTACTGTCAGTGTTCCTGTAAATTTTAGTTCATGTATTTGTATATTAAAAATTAATATATTTTTTTTTGGAGATACACAGCCTGCTAATTGATTAATTTTACCAGAATCTTTTTTTATCAGATTGAATTTTTATATATAAATCCATTTGATATGAAATTTTTATGTTTAAAATTTGTTTAAAGAAGAAAATGATGCATTTCTTTTATTTATTATACAAATATTATGATGATAATATGGTATTCATAATGAACCTTCAATTTTTCATTAAAATATGTAGTATATTCATAGATACTGTTATTCAATTCCTTTTTTGGAGAACAATAATTTTTTGATTCCTTTAAAAGTGGAAAAATAAATAAAGATTGAAATTATAATGTAGGATCTTTGATTAAATTAAGATCAATATAAATGAATAAATTTTCTACTAATTTAGAATCCAAATGCATAGAATTAAAGAGAAATCTCGAAAATTAACTTTTATGCTTAATTTCAAAGTTCTTTCAAAACACAATTCATATTATATGCGAATATATTATTCTACCAAAAACAATATAATGTTTTCAGTATTTGATTATATTAATTTCAATTTCAAAATTAAATAGCCAATATTGACAAATAAGTTAAAGAAATATAAACTAAAATTGAAACTTTCTTTTAAATAAATAAAAAGTCTGAAGATCTTGAAATGAAATCCTAATTAAATAATAAACAAAATAAAAAAATATTGTGATATGAACTGTTTTGAAAATGTGATCATATTGAAAATTTATAACAAAANTACCATTTGACCAAGAACTATAATATATAAAAAAAGGTTATACATTATTTAATAGTAATTGTTGGATGAATTTACCTTGAGATATGTAGTTAGAAATCCAATTAAAATTTAGTTTATACGAGATGTAAACTAAAGTGTAATCATGATTTTTAATAATAATCCTGTGGTTTATTTTGTAATGCTAGAGTATGATGTGAAACATTTAAAATAAAATTGTAAAGTTTTCGCCAATTATCTTGGGAGAGAATAATCAAAATAAAATAGATACCAATTTAACATTGATATATTAAAAAATAGGCATCCATAATTTATTATAATCAACTATGATGATTAATAAAAATATTAATACGTCCAAAAATATTAATATTAATCTTATGATTGACATTTTCATAAGATAAAACTTATAGTTTATTGCTTAAATTATTTAGGCAATTTCACAGTAATTTGATTTTCTTCCAGCTTTACTGTCAGTGTTCCTGTAAATTTTAGTTCATGTATTTGTATATTAAAAATTAATATATTTTTTTTTGGAGATACACAGCCTGCTAATTGATTAATTTTACCAGAATCTTTTTTTATCAGATTGAATTTTTATATATAAATCCATTTGATATGAAATTTTTATGTTTAAAATTTGTTTAAAGAAGAAAATGATGCATTTCTTTTATTTATTATACAAATATTATGATGATAATATGGTATTCATAATGAACCTTCAATTTTTCATTAAAATATGTAGTATATTCATAGATACTGTTATTCAATTCCTTTTTTGGAGAACAATAATTTTTTGATTCCTTTAAAAGTGGAAAAATAAATAAAGATTGAAATTATAATGTAGGATCTTTGATTAAATTAAGATCAATATAAATGAATAAATTTTCTACTAATTTAGAATCCAAATGCATAGAATTAAAGAGAAATCTCGAAAATTAACTTTTATGCTTAATTTCAAAGTTCTTTCAAAACACAATTCATATTATATGCGAATATATTATTCTACCAAAAACAATATAATGTTTTCAGTATTTGATTATATTAATTTCAATTTCAAAATTAAATAGCCAATATTGACAAATAAGTTAAAGAAATATAAACTAAAATTGAAACTTTCTTTTAAATAAATAAAAAGTCTGAAGATCTTGAAATGAAATCCTAATTAAATAATAAACAAAATAAAAAAATATTGTGATATGAACTGTTTTGAAAATGTGATCATATTGAAAATTTATAACAAAATAAGTAAACCAAAACCAAACTTTAATAATAGAAAATATATTTTACCAACTATTAATATCCCAATACTTTCACCATTTATTTAAGAAAGATACTAAATTAACCTTGATCTCTTTGTATCCTCTCTATAATTTATCAAAGTACATCTTGAAATAAATTATGTAACACATATTAGCAATTATAAAATAACACTACAAAATATAAGCAAATTTAATTGTAAATATTACTTATCCAATTATTACTTTTATCAATTTCATAGTAATTAAGAAATTTTTACCAATCTTATTCAAAATTATTCACTTTTATGAAAATATCTATTTAGTACATCAATTTATTTTTAATCCATATAATCTATGATTATCATTAATTAGTTCAGATTATATGGATTATAAGAACTAACAATTAAAAGACTATATATTTGTCTAGATAATCATATAGTATTAAATTCTACAATTAAATCTTAAATTTAACATTTATATAATAAAATAAGAACTTCACTTATAAATAAATATAAAATAAATTAGTAATCCTTATGGATGATATATTGGAAATATATTTTCCTTTAGATTATTTTTAATTCTAATCTATAGATTAGAAATTTATATATTACTTTTACAAATATTTATAAATATAATGAATTTCTACTTTTAACTAATGTTTTAAAATCCATTTCTTATATCAAAGATATTTCAATATTAAAGTTGTTGTATATTTATGAAATGATGAGATTATAATTATTCAATATAAAAAGAAATGATTGAGATTATAAATTAAAGAATAGATTTAAAAAATATAACCTGCTTTATAATAATTTCTCCAGAAATTTTTAATCAAATATTAATAAAATGGGATCTTAACTAAAATTTGAATAAATATAATAATCAATTTAATAGAAATTGCAAAATTTCCTGAATGAAATTTTTAAAATCCTGATCACAATTTTAAGATATTCTTTGTTAAATTTAAACTTATTGATGTCTTTAAAATAATTTGATATGGCTCACTTGAAGGATATTATCACGGAAAGAAGACACTGATTACTTATGATATTAAACATAAGAACAATTTTTATTCGTAAAATTTTAGTCAGACCATTATTTAATTAGTTGATCTAAATTAGGTAGTTTAGAATAGCAATCATCAAAATAATTATATAATTTAATTATTTTACTTAAGAGTTTCATTCTTGTTTGCCATCCTTCTTGCTTTGAACTTTATTCTTTGTAATTTAAATGTTCATAATATCTCCATTAAGTGTGATTTATAGAAGTTAATATGGAATTAAATTTGAAAAATAATTTCCATGAATTATATTCTTATATCATAAAATTACCAAAATTTCTAAACAGATCATAAAATTCTTCAAAATTTTTATCATATATATCTCCATTTTTATTTTAAAAAGAATATAACATTTCATGTTATTCATTTATGCACTCATTAAACTTCTCCATGGTTTAGTAAATAATTTAAGCAGACTTCTCTCCATTTAATAATTAATAAGTATAACCTATTTCACCATTATTATTGAGATAAATTTGTTTTTCACTTTATAAATTTATCTAGTCTTTCATTTTTTTTAATAAATTCTCGTATTTCTATGATAGTTCTACATGAAAATTATCTCTCTTATACAATTCCAAAAACTTTTTTTCTAGTTTTTATGTAAACAATGAAAAACTTATATAATCGAAAAATTGATCATATTTAGACTTCATATCTAAAAGTTTATTACTATTAATTTTATTTTATAAATAATCCTGGAGAATCAATTTGAAACTATCATTTCCCATCTCCCAAAGTAGTTAATTCTCTTATGTTTTATTTTCTACAAATAAAGTATTAGTATTAAATTTGAGATACCAAATATTATTCATAGTTGGTATCATTTTTAAAACAGGAGATAGTATACCATTAATTTTATCAGTTTTAGATTATAATATATTTTTCTATTTAGGATAATCATCTATACAATCTGGAAATAAAAACACTATATTTTTGATTAAAACATTAGATAATTTACATAAAACAGATTCTAACATATAAAATGTACCTATTTATACTTATTATGGAATTACAAAACCAATTAATATATTTTGATCAAGCAAAGCTGAATTATAGATAACATCAAATATTCTATTAGAGATATTTTAATCATCATAATTTAAATCATCACTATAATTAGGTGTATATATAATTCTAAGTCCTGGTTTTCCATTTTAAGGAGTAATATAATATACTTTCATTTATTCATATTCATCATTTTATCTCTCTTTAGTAATATCAATATCATCAGCTATTTCAAATATATTAGAATCTGATAATTTTATATCATGATAGTAATTTAAAAATAAGTTTATTAATTTCTATTTTTCTGAACTTTAAGTTCCAATTAGAATAATGGTTTTATAGTCTTCCAGTTTATCAATAGATGATTTATAATATCTTGGGTATTGATAAATATTATAATTATTCTCTTTCCTTATTAAATCTAAATTTATGAATATTTTCATTCTATTTTATTTTTGATTAATCTCTTAATTTCCTAAATCTATTTTTATTTCTTATATTATTTATGATTCTTAGCCAATAATTTGTTATTTATTATTAGATATATTAAGAGTTTTTTATGCCTTAACCCATATGTCTTTTGAAGATGATTCAATAATTGAAAATATTTAAGAAATAGGTTCCATTAATGTTTCTAAATTAAGTATTAATTAATTGAAAGATGATTATAATTGTTGAATTCTTAACAAATTATAAACTTATTTTTCATACTCATTTTCCATTATTACTTCAAATTATTTTTCTAAATCTTCACCCATACAAGATAAGTATTTTTCAGCTTAACCCATTATTTCAACAATCTAACTTATCTTTTTTTAATATATTTCATAGTTCTAAATTGTAGTTTTCTTCCATTCTTTAATTTATTTCATTGTTTTCAAATCTGATTTATGTGCTTTGTGCATTTGAATACAATCTATACAACAGCCTCTTTTTAACTAACAATTCATATTAATACAAATTAATATTATCTCCTATTAATTATGATCTGATTCTTTACACTCTAACATATTTTATCAATAATTATATATATTAATAATGATTTTTCATTTTATTTGTGTCTTATAGAGTATTCGGATCTTAAGTATTTCAAATCTTTTTACTATAAAATTTATCAAATTAAATCAAATTATTCAATAACTCAGATAATGATGTATGAAGTATTAGTTAAAATGTACCTCAAAAATGATTTTTGAAAAACACAAATTGTTAGATGACACAATATACACTTTAATAAATTTGATATCATGAAAATTTTTAAGTTATCCAAGAAAAATGTTATTATTCATTTATAAATTTATAATAGACTCAGTCCAACATAATATTGATGAAAAAACTTAATTATAAATAATTTAAAGTATTTAAGTATAAGAAATTGAATATTCAATAATAAAAAACAAAATAAAACATATCAAACGGGTTTCTAATTTTGTTTTTAAAGAAATTCATATGAATTTCTATTTCTAAAAATTGTACATGAATATCATATTGATTTATCACTAAGATTTAACTCTATTTTGTATGACAAAGATAATTAAAAGATATTTTTAAAGCTAATAGGTTGTAATGTTAACCTACTTCTAGAATTTATAATTAACCTTAAATTCCACCATAAATTAATTAAAAACTGAAAATTAATAACAATAAAATTAAATATATAAAATATAATTTTTGTAAATCTTTTCTAATTAGATCAAAATTGAAAAAATAGATAACTTAAGATAACCCCTTTAATTAGTTTTTTCTATATAATACTTGAAAATTATCATAACTATTATCTTTAAAATTAATATTTCCAATATCAATTCATAATGATTTTTTTTTTTAATTTATGCTAATTCTCATTAAAAATGATTTTGTATAAATTAAATCATTTATACATAGCTTTTTGAAAATAAATAATGTATCTGCATTCATATAAATCTAATTAATAGAAAGCTTAGGTTAAATAATTTATTTATAATATATTTTATGTATTTCTAAAATTAATACTTTTTGTTAATAATTATTGTTTATAGTTTATTGTTTATTTTTATTTTATTCATCTTAATTATATAATGTAAAAAAAATGAGAAATATATTAAAATATCATATAATAGTAAAATAAATAACTAATTTTTTTTAATTAAATAATTTGATTTTTCTAATAGTGTTTAAGTTTAAAGATTAACTATTTTATTATTAATTAGAAATTCACAAATTTACATGAAACTCAAAATAAAATTATAAATGCATAATTACTGTTTTATTTTACTTTATTATTATTTCTATAATTATTCTTATAGTTCTAACTCTTACACTTATAATATAATTTGTAATATTTATTTTTAACTATGTAGATACAAATAATAATATTATAAATCTAAAATAAGAAAAATATTAACAATATTTTTTTCAGATATTGAATGGTGGATAGTTAATTATAAATTAATTTATCTTTATTAATTTCATAAAACCCCTTTTTCATTTATAATCAGGATTATTAGTTTCATAGTCATAATAATTTATTCTATTAGAAAAATGAGAAGATTTCAATAATAATATTACATATATATTTCTAATCAATTCATATGATTCTTACATCTAACTCATAAGGCTAAAACAAAATTTCAGCTTAATTAAATTTATATTAGTATCAAATTATATTTACAATTAAAATAATTATAAAATTTTGTTTTATTCTATTTTGAATTTTCGACAATTTAAGCGGATAGAATAGGAATAAATTTCTGGAAGTGAACATTTATCGTGCTTTTATAAGACTTCTTGTAATAATCTATTTTCTTTTAAATTTTCATACTATTTTGGTCAATATTTATGCTTGAAATTTATCAAATCAAAACATATTTTTGTTATTCTAAAAATTTATTTCTATGCTTAATAGAGTAAACAAAGAAATTAAAGATTTAACTGAAAATCCTACTCCTGGGGTTGAAGTATATCAAGATAAAGAAGATAGATTGAAGTCTAACAATTTTTAATATTAGAATACATTTCACATTGTCTGGACT